CGTATTAATATTAATCCAAATGCTGTCAGCACTACAATGTAAGATCAAATGAGATTATTTTAGATTATTCTAGGCTCATCTGCTTTATGTTTCAATGATGGAAATGAAGCATACTTCTTACTTCTATTCAAATGATGAACTCCTCCATTTCTGACCTTTTTTTTAGTGAATGTCATGATATGATAATGTGCTGTAAATACAATGAAACTGGAAAAATGTTAGCAGTTGGATTTGTGGATGGATCTATCAAGGTAAAAAAAAAAACAGCATGTTTTGAAGTTGCCATAGCAACAAAATTAATATTGAGTAGGGCTGAGAATAACATGTGTCTACTTCGTGAATACTTACTTACCTGGAGTATGTACAATGGGATTTAAATCAAATGGCTGAATACTAATTCTTTCCTCAAATGTTAAATCTTGGTTCATTAACTGAAGTATGATGTGTTGTTAGGGGTTATTGATTTAAGGCAGCTGGGTTTACATTTCATGTAAAGGAAGATGAGAATGAGTAGAGGAAGCTAGCCAACAATTACCCATTAATATATAATCTAAATCTATATTATATAAAAGGCCACACTGATCACATAGACATCTGTCTTTTGTGCCATTTAAAGTGTCATTATATCTTGTTACATAATCCTTTCCACTCAGTAACGTAGATAGTATCTTTGTTTAAATCTCAATTAAAAACTCACCTGTTATTTTTTCCATTTCTTGCCAGCTAGCTTTTTTCTAGTTCTATTAGGATAGGAGGCGCCTGAGTCCTGGGATGGCCGAAACGCAACTGGCGCTGGACAGGGAACATTTTAATTGATACCTGGTCAGCGACAAGGGTGTACCTCATACTGCGGTTTGGGTGCTGGCTTGGAGTTATTACATCTGTTCACTTGCTTTTAGCGCATAGAGAGCCTCATATTTTTTTCAGTATAAATACATAAACTTTAACCTTTAAAGTGGACCATGGTTTTGTGATTACGATGCTGTCTGGCCTTAAACCCAGATCTCTTCACACTAAGCCTCATTCTTCCCTTCCTTGAACTAAGGAAGATTTTCTAGTACAGTAAATTGTTTCTATTCTGTGATAGGTGCAAATTACGTCAGAACTGTTGGATGAGAAATTAAAATTAGATATTTGTTCTTCAAAATACTGTTTACCAACCAAAAATGATCCATTTTCTTGTGTAAAGCTTATCGTTACAAAAAATTGGTTCAACATCTCTTTTATAAGCTTCTCATAAATTACTTTCCTTTGCCATATTGTAACACATGCTAAGTTGTAATTTTTAAAAAAATTAAAAAATGCCAATTTTGAAGTCATATTGCACCTTGTTAAATTATGTTTTACTGTGTACACAAATTTGTATTTCTTATAATTATGGTTAGTAACTTTCAGCATTGTTGGCATGGTACCACACTCGGTATATACTGATTTAACCACTGCTACTGAATATTTTGTAATTAATCATTAACCAACTTTAATCTTCTGAGATAGAACCATTACACATTATTTTTCAGACTAATGGTAGATATACAGATGAGATTAATTATTATTCTTCGTTAGATCATGGACATATTATTGATGATGCTATTAATATTTAATCTTTATGACTTATGCCACACAAGTGGTCTGATCAATAGTGTTTATGAAAAAGTAGCATTTGATAACATCAAGTCAGTATTAATAGCCTGTATAGATTGTTTTTGTTGAGATACCATCTTTTGTCGTGTAATTAAACTAAAACATCCAATTTCTCAGTTAATTTAAGTTATCTGATGTATTATCCCATGAATAATACAAAACAAAATCATAAAAATCCTTAACCTTCTGTTTTTGATATTTAATTACCAGTTCGCGTTTGTATTAATTTTTCTACATACTACTTTTATATATGGGCTTGCATGGCTTTGATGAAAAACATTGGGTGAATCAAGTTTTCCGTGTTGAAATATTTACTATACCGTAAAACCTTGAATTGAAGCCCTGGGTTTCTTTTATTTCTGGACTTTAGATAGGCTTCTTTTCGGAGCTACTTTTGCAAAGTAAAAATGGGAGCCTCTTTTCAAGATGCTGTAAATTTTGGGAATTACAATAAAAACTAAAACAATAAATAGGGCCACTGTAATATCAATCTGTGTCATGGAGTGTATTAACCAGCATTAAATCACCTAAACTACTGTATAAACCAAGTGTGTTTTTAATGTTTTTTGTTTCCTTGGAATTCATGTACAATGTATGTACTGTACTATTGAAAAAAGCCAATGCTCTCTTAAAAAGAAACCAGAGATGGGCTTCTTTTCAAGGTTACTTTTGCAAACTAAAGGTTGGGGGCTTCTATTTGAGATGGGTTTCTCGAAATTAAGCCCATTGGGCTTCTGTTTTGAGGTTTTACGGTATTATAATTTTATAGCTCTCTCCACACTATCAAATTTTCTTCGACAAAAACTATTATATGCCCATAATTATGGTGATGATGTGATGTCATCATGACTGTTAGGCATGTCACATGTTTTTGTTAAATAATTTTCTAGGATGGACAGAGCTGTGATAAATTATGTTGTGCAATATCTTTAATGCAGGTTTACGCTGGGGAGTCTGGGTCAATCATTTACAGTCTCTGTGACCAAGAGACTAAAGATTGTTGTTTGCCGTGCACAAGTATTAACTTCAAGCCACATGTTGATGGAGATCGCTCTGACAACCACCTTCTTGCTACATGTAAGTATTTGATGAATGTCCTTTTGATTGGATTTGAATAGGCAAGTAGGAAGAGAGGTGGAAATTCTAATTTAATATTTTAGTACTGTATGAGTATAGGACATTATTGTTACTAGATTACTGCATGGAGATATATCTCTATGATTACTGACTGTCACCCACAGCATTATTATGTTTATTGATTTACCATAAAACTTCTAATAATAGACCATTACTATACTATATTAGTAACCCCCGCTAATGTTAACTCACCCTAGAAGAGTAATCTATTAACAATCCACTACTCTAATAACCCATGCGGTTACTATAGGTTTCACCAAAACTGTGACAAAATGACATTCAAATCAACATTTTTGTCACTTTAACACGATATATTCTTTAAAGTAGGCATTCTTAACAATGTGATTGTGCCGTTGATAATCCTTTCTTGAATTCACTCCATTTCCCTTAATGCAGACCATTGTTATTTCATTTCAAAATAAGGATATTTCAGTATAACTTTTCATAGTTTATTGACCAATTATTTCTATGAATTGGGTGGGGGTTTACTATTTTCAAGTGCCTAAACCACTACTCTACTAGTAACCCACCCTAAAATACAATCAAAGAATATTAACCCAAGGTTATTGGTATTTTAATACATGTTTTAGATCAGAATGGTGTAATCATTATCTAAATTCAGAACAAGTCATTGTGATCTTATATGACAATAATTTTTGCGAGGTCAAAATTTTCTGTTATTTATTTTGTAACTAGATGCATCAGGTTTTGTGAAGCTTTGGCACATGTCTACTGGACAGTGCCTACACACAATGCATGAGGTAAGGCAGACACTAACAGCTGCCTACAACAAGGACGCTTCACTTTATGTGACTGGGGGATCCGACTGCAAACTCAATGTCTATGATGCTACCACAGGACAGAAGTTCAAGACATGCGAACCAAGGTATACAGTAGTCCTCTTTTGAAAAAATGTATTGTCTGAGCTTGGCTAAAAAGTCTGAACAATACAGTTGAATTGTAAACTAATATTCAAGTTTTTAACTTTTAATTGAAAATTAAAATGAAAAAAAAATGTTTTTCTCACCAAATCATATACAGTATATACACTTATATTATGATACATTGAGTTACTACCACAACTGACTGGCAATACAGAAATATTTAAAACAAGTTAGAGTAATAACAATTATTAGGAAACATAATAATAATAATAATAATAATAATAATAATTATTATTATTATTATTATTATTATAAGCACTTAGAGATGAATGTTATATGTGCTATGCAAGTACACAACCATTGACCAACCATTGACCAAGATTCATTGCATAAGCTTTTTTTACATGATAAGAGCCTTTTCTGCCAACAGTTTTCACATGCCCACTGACTCCAGCTGACATGCAGAAACCAAAACAAAATAACAAGTCTACAGAATTTAATCGACCAATCAGAATTGCATGTGGCGTGGGCGTGTAAGGCTTTGTACTTTCAATTGGAAGGTTGAGGGTTTGAGACCAATGCTCGTCACACTGGTTGTGTTTTTGGGCAAGACACTTTATCTGCATTTTCCTCTCTTCACCCACGAGTATAAATGGGTACCTGGTGAAATGAAAATTAGTAGTGCTGATCACATGAGTAAATACTCCACAGGGAGTGGAGGAGAGTGCGACACTCGTTGCATTGCTTGTGTCCTAGGGCAAGGCACTTCACTTACGTTTGCCTCTCTCCACCCAGGAGTATAAATGGTTACCTGGTAGGATGGTATGGCAATGATTGTTTGGGTCGTGCGTGTACAAGCAGCAGTGACCAGGGATACTCCTCAATGAGAGAGAAATTTGCACAATATGTGGGTCTGCCAACACAGTATACAGTGACCCGGAAAAATAATAATGTCAGCGCCTTGTATAATCTGCTGATTGTGATAAGTGTTATTTAAAAAAGAAAGTTTGATAGATTCTGTATTCAATGACCAGGGCAAAATACCACTGTGAGCGCTATATAAATGCCAAAATATTATTATTTATTATTATTACAATCAGTTGATAGGTTTACTTGGACCCTTCATATATTATCTCTTTTTTTCCCCCTAGTCCTTCTATGTCAATTATGGATGGCCATCGTTTCCGTGTGTTCTCCATTAAATTTCATCCACATGACAACACATCATTTGTATCCGGAGGTTGGGATGACACTGTCCAGTTTTGGAACACCTCTTCTGAGCATGCAATCAGGTAAAAATTATCTATCATTAAGTTTGCTGTCACTTTTAGGATCACCCTGAGTTGTTCTTTTTAATCTAAAACCTTTTAGTACTTCTATTTCAATGATTTTTTTTTTTACTCTTTAACAGTATCATTTGTTATCAGCGTCTCAGTGCCACGATACAAACGTATTACAGGAATAACATACAATTTAAACATTTTTCTCTGGCTTAAGAATTCCTTAATGTAATGCATTGAGAAAAGGTGTCCTAGTAAGAAAATCTCTAATGTTGCAGCAATCTAACTGTCATAAATTGTAGATTTTATACTGATGGAGACAATACTTGAGCATTAACATTTTTCAAAAACCTATTTTTTGAACATCAGTGTAATTTATATAGAATTATTATTGAATTTATATATTTCAGGAAGTTGAATGGACCACATATATGTGGTGATGCCCTAGATATTGATCCTTATCATAATCATATTGTTACTGGATCGTGGCGGAAAGAGTACAGCTTACAGGTGAGAACAACTTGAAACTAAATAGCGCCCTCCTTTGGTACACCTAATGAACCCATCTTCAGAACCAAAAAAATGTCCCCTTAATATGGGTGTCCCCAGGATAGGGGTTTTCCATAGTGCTAATAGGTTCACTTTTCTTCTTTTGTTGCTAAAAATTGTGACCCCTGAATAGGGATGTCCGCTTAATAGAGGTTTCCCAAAGGAGGGGTTCTACTGTATAAGGAAAATTGTTGGAAATAATACCATAAAAGATTTAATTTCATTTCATTTATTTCTCTCACAAAACATACAAATACAGTAAGAATTAACAGGCATAGGCGAACAACAGAGCAGAGTAGAAACCAAAAAGCGAACTAAATCAACTATCAAGTGGTTCCCAGACAAAAAACATAAAAAGAAGAGCAAATATAAGATTTGTATTTAAAATATAAAGATATTATGTAGATATTAATATACTAATTAGCAAAACACCAAAAACAAATAAATAAATTAATTAATTATTAATTTATTTATTCATTATTTAATTGATTGATTGATTAAATTATTAATTAATATTAATTAATTAATTAATTAATTAAAATTTGAAAAAAAATATATAAATAAATAAATGCCTCTTTAAAAATAAATATATGCCTCTTTAAAAAGGTCTGACCTCGAATAAGTGCTGCACCAGTCTTTTGCTCTAATCTCTACACTTAAGTATGTTCTGTCATTATGTTACTTGGAGTAAGAAAAAAAAATGTTTACTCATAACACAAATCTGAATTATTTAGCACCATTTTTTTAGGCCCCTTATCAACACTTGTAGACACAAATCTCAACAAGATTAAAAAACACAGTTCAAAGTCTGCAATGGTAACCTTATTGCATATTTAATAACTTGAACCCAATGACCAGGGGAAAAAAACAAGTACAAACATGGTACAAATCACAAGGGAAAGCATATACAAGCAATAAATAACAAGGAAGTAACCAAAAGGAAATTATAAAAGAATATTCCGGATCTGGATACAGTTTAATGTTTTAAAAATGTACCAGATAAAACTAATTACTGTATTACTTAAAGTTGACAAGCATGTATAATACTACAGTATTTATATTTAATCAATTTTTTTATTAGTAAATTATAATCATTATTATTTTAAATTCATCAAATTATTTTGTTTAATTAACTAAATACTCTATTGATTGTTTTGTATTGCAATTTACAAAGTGAGTCTTTGGCTATGGAACAATTAATTGTCCCTCTATTGCTGTTCAATTTTTTTTTAGTATAGTAAAATTAAATTTTTTTAAGACACAATTAAGAAAAAAATTAAGTATCCCTATTTGCTTTATTGCAATTCTTTTTTGAGTAAAATGAAATAATTTTCACAATTTGTAAATTTTATCAATTTCGTCTTTTGTTTTTCAGGTTGTAATGATTTTTATGCATTGATAAACCTTGTTTAGTTTTTCTGAATATATCTTTTAGAACATAACATTTATTATGTAATTGTTTTCTATTATCCTTCTTACAGATTTGGGATTATAGTACTGGTGCCTTGATTAAAAATGTTACCCAAGATTACAATAATTCATTGGTAAGTATTCATTCATTCTTTTTCCATTTTTAGTGTGTAAATGGTAGACACTAATGCTAGTAACAATTCTTGGTAACAATAACCAGTAGGTGAAATGACTAATGTCAAATTTATTACATTATGACAATAGCATTGTTGCAAAAATGAATCCAATAGATAAGGATGCAGCCTGTAAATATCTTTCCTGTAATACACAGATCACGAGCTGACTTCACCCTGACCTTTTGTATTGGTTCTGTAAGGCGGGGGTTTTTTGTACCTTGTTTAGCAAACTTGTTGCCCACCAATAATGATGATTTTGAATAAAAATAAAATTTTATTTTTGGCCAATTAGAGCACCCACCACCAAAAAAAATGGAAATTTCAGGAAAAAAAAGAGTTTTTCTGTATTTTTATTACATCCGCCGCTGCCTTAAAATCTCCAAAAATAAGATATGTATATTTCTTCCTATTAAAATTATTTAAATTAAAGCATTTAACTCCTTATTACTACTCTGTTTTACATTCTTAAGTGGGCCCCTGAACATCAGATTTATTCTGTAAGGGTCGCCAACTCAAAATATGGTTTTAAATAAGTAAATAAATGCACCAATAAAATTTTATCTTATTTTGTCCTCCATCTGGATGTTTTTGGCAAAAGCTATTTGCCAAATAAGAAAAAACAATTATTTTATTTTTCTTTCGCCCTCCTCAGACGATCTTTAAAAAAATAAGTTTGTGAAACAAGTTATAAAAAAGTCTCGCCTAAAGCCGTTGTACACTATAGTGAATTTAAGTGCGCGAATCAAAAGTGTCGATGCACTTCAGTGAAATCAGTAGTTAGAACTGTTTCTTATTTTTGCGAAGCTAAGCAATCAGAGCTCAGGAAGCGAGTGCTTTCGATTCATGCAAATATATTTGCCTAGTGTAAAATCAGTTGGAAGAGGTTATATTGTCTCAGGACTATGGAAAGACATACCAAATATTTAATTTCACTTTATTTACTGTTATTTAAATTTAGAATGTTATTTAGTTATAAGAAACCAATAGAAAGGATATTGAGTATCTTAAAAATACTATGGAAAATATTTGTTTTGAAATCATTGTTGTCATTTAACTTCAAAGTCAACCATGCATACATCCCAAAATATTGTAATAAACAATAATACACCTACACCTCAATTCAGCGCAAAAAGGAATTACTCAAGGTATAATCAAGTGGCATTATAATAGTTTTTGGTTGGATGTCATTAATTGTGTCTAATAGATACTATACCAAGATTGAAATATTTTGATTGTGGAATAAATGATTATATAACCTTACCTTAGTATGATCAAATCAAAATATTTTATAAACATTATGGATTAAAGCCTAGGGTTATCTAGGTCATCTATGTTATCCAACAACTGAGTCATAATTTGAAGGTAAAGAGTAGGAGGTGCTCAATATTTACTAACCTATCCATGTGCATCTCCAGTAGTGTAACGCCTATGCGCTCTCGTGTGGTGGTCCGCAGGCCCCGACCCCTAGGGGCCCTGAAGGAGCCCCTTATTCATAGGGTCCTTGATCTAGCACCCTGACAATGAAAAGCTTTGTTAATACATAACAGCATAATGTGTGTCTGGCATCGACTGTAGGACATATAACATATATTATATCCAGTGATGGATTAAAGGGTGGGAGGAGTGGCAGCTGGCCCACAACCAACCCCTTCCCCTACACATTTGTCCAAAATTATAAAAAGAAAATTATATTCATTTTTTAAATTCTAATTTTCTTTTACCTCGGCTTTGACAATGGTGTGGCTGTAGCTGTGGTTGTATAGACCTTCCATTTGTGAAAGTTCCTCCCTGTGCACCCCCCGCCCCCCACAACATTTAAAATTCCTGGATCCGCCACTGATATCATATCAGTTATTTCATTGTTGAAAACATTTAGAATACAATGACAAACATGCCCGTGTGCATCTGAATTCTCAGGTACTTGTTAAATTCTTGTCGTAACTTTGATTCTGTGTTTGTGTTCATGTTTTATTAATATCATAGTTTTGTGACTGCTTAATACAAATGCTGATCAATAGAAACAAAATAACTCGGCAGGGTTTTTTTTAGTATTGTTGTCCATCTTGGCTGTAGTTGCTAAATTCCTGTTTTTATTTTGATTCTATGGGTTTTGTGCCAGATGTTTTATTCATACTGTATTTTGTAAATGCACAATTAGATAAAAATCAATGAAAACAAATAGTCAGCAGTTTTCGGGAATATTGTTGAGAATACTGCGATAAATTATATTTCAATATTTGTGTTTGACAACAAACAATTAAAACATTGGCCTATAGGTAGATGTGGGTTTAGAGATGAAATCTAATCATGTACATAAAATCAGGATGTATACATGTTTGGATTGAACTTCTTTTGATCAAAATTGATCATTCACCTGATCGGTTTACCAAAAAGACTGAAATACAAACAGACTAATTACATTGTCTTTGCTTAAGTATCCCAGCTGTTTTTCCCTTCCAGAAAAGTCCAATGCTAACATTGCAACTGTTTGAGTGTTCCTGAGTATATATGTGCAATCCCCAAATTTTCACTATATGTATACATGTTTAAACTGACTGACTTAAATCAATCATTAAGTCATTTAACAATGTGACTTTAGCTTGGTCAAATTTACTCCAATGTACATTACTACAGAGTATAATTGGGATGACTGAAAAATAATTAGTTAATTGATCAACAAATTAATGATTGATTGGTCGGTTGATTAAATAATGCTAATGATAATGAAAATGATAATAATAGAGCTTTTGTATATCATACTCCATTGTCTTTATGTGCTTTACATTACGACGCATCAATTGTTGAACCTTGAAATGGATAAGTTTTCAAATTTGTATGATAGTAATTGTTGAAGGTGCTAATCTGAACATGCTCTGTTCTTGTCTTTCAAGTTGTATTGTGCACAGTGGTTGGGAAAGGACAATATTTTGGTTGGCGGTTGTGAAGCCAATTTGACTCGAGTCATAGACAGGGGTACTCTGCAGGTGAGTAAATAAAAAGAAAAGAGCGAAAACCCAAACAGAAACATTCAATTGTAAAAATTTGCAAGTACCTTTCTCTATGAAACCACACACAGTAAAAATGGCACTGCATTGCATCATCTTTAGAAAGTTTGTTTATATCCTGTTCTATTTAACCCTGATATAAAACATTTTTTCTTCATACAGTACTTCTTTCTTTTGTTTTCTTTTTTCTTGTTTATATTACTATTTCAAGAATGTCATTATTGTATTGGTATTTGTATTGAATATAAATCATTCTGTCTAGTAATTTTATTCCAATGCAGTCTGCTTCAACCCAAACAGAAGTATTCAATTGTAAAAATTCACAAGTACCTTTCCCTATGAAACTACACACTGTGAAATTGGCGCTGAATTGCATCATCTTTAGAAAGTTGGTTTATATAATAACCCTGATGTAAAACTTTTTTTTCTTCATACTTCTTTCTTTTGTTTTCTCTTTTCTTGTTTATATTACTATTTCAAGAATGTTATTACTGTATTAGTATCTGTATCGAATATAAATCATTCTGTCTAGTGATTTTATTGTGGTCTGCTTCAACCCACTGAACATTCTTTTTCCTCTTTTATTAGACCACTGGTAGGTTGGCAGATCTCCCAAGAGGAGTGTACTGTTTGGATAATAATCGTCAGGGTGACGTTCCAAGATTTGCCGCTGGCTCAGACCGGATGCTTTACTTCCTCCACATGAAGCATGATTAGTTGTCTAGTACTGTAATCACATTAGCAAGCAATACTGTATCACAAGATAGTGATCCTGTAGAATGTAATCAAAACATTTCTGGCATCTCTGAGCCTGGTTGGTATTTACTACAATGTACTACTGCCACAACTACTATTGCATCTACCAATTTAATCTTACCGACTGCATTTGCCGAGGATTTTTAAAATTATACAAGTTTTCCTATATTTTCATATAAAAAACAAATACTTTATATGTGGGTGTCGTTCTGCTTCTCCACTGTAGGTATACTAACTTTGCATCACAAACTACTCTTTCAACTACTATATTGCTACACCCGGCAGGGGGTCTGGGATATAATAATAATAATACGTCGTTCTTATATTTAAACACTTAATGCCTTTACAAAGCCTCTAAGTGCTTCACATTAATACTACCCCGGTCATTGGATCAAACACATATGGAACACATTGAGCACCAAATTAAATTATTAAATTAAATTATATTATTATTCCATAATATTGCGGCTATTAATCAGCGCAGTTGTGTTGGAACCTACCAGGTACCCACTTGACGTACTCCTGGATGGAGAGAGGCACCCGTAGATAAAGTGCCTTGCCCAAGGACACAAGCGACCTGCACAGCGAGAGTTTCGAACCCCCGACCTTGAGATTGGGAGTCCAAGCCACAACCGATGCGACAACCGCTTCTACAGGACTCCCTCAAGGAATCCTGGTGACCTTGTTGGGGAAGAAACCGATCATTATGTATTGAACACTGATTTGAATAAGTGGCATTTCCAGATATCTACAGGTGCCTATTTTTAAAATTTCCTCACCTTGGTCTCAAACATGGTGGAGCTGAGGTGGGTGATTCAGTGTCGGGGGATCTTGGACCCTTCACTGGAGAATTTCTAGCACTAAAACTGCTACTGCGTAGATTAATAACTACAGTTATACCTCTCATGTGTAGGCTTTCTAAGTCTCAGCATAGGCCTATTATATTTAACATCCAGGATCTTGAAATGATATTTAAAATTGATGGCATATTTTATAAGGGTTTTGTTTTGGCCTCAGGTCAACAAACTAAATCATTTTTTATCATGCTTGAATTGAACCTTTATGGCTAAACAGCTAATATTGTAACTTGCAACAACCACAAAATTCAAAACACATAAAACATTACAGATGAGCACATGACAACCACTTTGTATTGTTGTTTGTGAAGTGTTTTATGACACAGTAGTCCCAGGCTGGATAGAGGGAGGCTCTACTGTACATACCCTATAAACCATTAATCACTTCCTTGGCACTGAAATTGTTCTTTAATAACTTCAAACATATGGATGATAAATAGTTTATTGTACATAGCTTTAAAGTGTTTTTGTCAATGAGACTGAATTAGTTACAGTATCAGTTATTCATTCAGGATTTTTGTGATGTCATACTTTGTAACTAATTCAGTACAGTGGTTTTTATGGTCAGGTGACTTGACTTGTATATAATATTTTACTTATGGTAATGTTTGTCAACACAGTTTATGAAATCTTTTAACAACATTCATCAGTAAATTGAAGAAGTTATTCATGGTGGTGTCTTCATTCTAATCTGAATTAAATTACATAGAAATGCTATTTAAAGAGGAAATAAAACAGTAAGAAATAATTATAAAGGAATTCTGTCTCAAATAGTTTACTCCCTTTTTCAGAGTCTGAAATAATTTACAGTACTTGTTTCAAGCCATTACTTATAATGAATATATAATGGTTTCTAGTCACTGAATCCATTATAAATGAATCAATGAGCATAAAGTGACATTTCTCCTGCTTCTAGTTGTGAGGCAGTACATTTGGAGAAGGCAGTTTGGTGCAGCAAGTTTCCATTCTGGTTATTGAATTGTTTATATGGTCGGGAGTTCTAACCACACATTGACATATTATTCTCCTTAGCCAGTCATGCTTAGATACTCCTGTGTGAAGTAGTTTGCTCTATGTTTCAGCCTTGTTTCTACTCACAGGCAGTAGGCAGTAGTCCTATATCATTAACTAGAAATTAGAATCACACAAGAAAACAAAAATGACTTCATTGCATTGCTTTGAAAACTATCAATTTTATTTCTTTAATCCCAGAAAAAGAAAATAGCTCAATATCATTCCATATCAATACAAATATCGTTGCTAAGGTCACATAAAAAAATTAAAAAAACTTTTGTGTGTATGAGACATGTGCATATTCCTCCTTCCTCCTCCCCTCCATCCCCCTCCCCTCCAGCTGTTGGCTTATTAACACCATCAAAAACTGGGCCATCGCCTGTTGATTGCATCATCATGTACAGTACATTAGAATGATTTTAGTATATTTCAGTGGTGAATCCTGGAACTTGACATAATACAGTCCATGGAGGGACTTCTGCAAATGCAGGGTATGATATTTTATGGATATGGAACCTTTCTACATGTCCAGAAAATCGCACTCAGGCGTACACATGAATGTAATTTTCTCTTTTTTCTACATTTTTTTCGTTATTAAAAAAAATAGAATGGAGACTAACTTGTCCCTCCCCCATTGATTCTGCCCCTGCACCAAAGTTGAATTCACATGACAATTTTACCATTAGGTTCTAATCCCAGAACTTGATTGTGTGTTTAAAAGTTCTAAATGAATCAATAAATACAGTATATCAACTGAAGCATAGGCCTACACTAGAATATGACAATATACTAGGTACTTATTGTCTCCAAAAAAAAGCTCGCAAAAAAGTACAATTCAAAGAAAATCTCATTAAAATCGATCAAGGATAAAAAGTATCAACATCAAAATTCCATAAAAACACATTGACAACAGCACAAACATATTCAAAATTAAACAAGGACTACAATATTTAAAGATAATGAAAAATTTTGCAACAAAAAAAGTGTTACAATATTTCTATAAAGGAGAAACTACTCAACAGGAATATCATATTATTTATGAAATATTTTTATTATTTTTTTAATGATAATTATTATTTTCATCATTATTACTATTATTATTATCACCATTATTTTTATTACTAATATTATAATTATTACTTATCTTTTATGATTTTCATTGATGTATTTTATACCCTTTGTTTTGTGTTTGCAATCGGTACTCTCATACAACCACTCCTAGGGTTAACGGAGCGAATTACAATATTTTAATTTCCTTTTTGAATTTTAGTACTGGAATCAATAACCACTTCTTTGGTCTGGGAAACATTGAGTTTAAGAAAATTATCTTTACACTATCTGACAAAACATTCAATTTTAGACGTGTAATGCTGTCATCATGTTTGATAAGGCCTAAATCTTCAGTGTCATCAACAAATTTGATAACTGGACAGTCTGGATGACTGGACCTATAGTCTTCTATACTATAAACTATATGTAGTTGTTTTTTTACATGTTTTATATGTAGGTTTTTTTTTTACAGAGTAAAAAGGAAAAGGAGCCAGCAGTGTACCTTGCAGTGCACCAGTGTTAATGACTACATATTCAGATTTGACATAATCATTCAGTTTTATATATTGATATCTATTATTGAGGAAATCAAGTACAAGACCAGCTAAGCAAACATTGTCCACAGGAGCAGCGCCGTGACATGTCCGATACAAACCATTTTGAAACAATTACAGAAAATTGTTTCCCCAATACATTAGATTTCATATTCACCGCGCCTACTTCAGCTTTTATATTTTTCTATTTTATTTATTTATAACTGTATTTGAAGCAGGTGTCCAAAACTATTATTTTGGGCCCTCACAAAAATATACTGCTAGCTTTTTATTCTTCAAACGTTTATACAGAAAATACCATGGGATGGAAAAACATAGGAACAATAAACTCATCTGTAATAGAAATTCATACTCCAAGATTGATCATAAATAAATTCTAATAAAAGCAAACTACATGAAAAGAAAAGATGACAGTTTAGCTTCCTTGCTTTTCAAATAATAATGTTACAATACACACTACAGGCTCATATTAATAAATTGTGTACCAAATATCTTTTTGTATTACTGTACAAAATTATTGTACCATGAATGATTACATTATTTGTATATTTTATATAATAATGAAATATTTCTCTTAAAAAATCATCCAAAAAATATTGGTATTCTAAATATAAGAATTCACTGTGATATCCTAATACAGCTTCGAAAGTTTACATGTTATTTTACATTTACTTCTGACTTGTATATAGGAATTATGAACACATTATTTACTTAAATATGTTATATACAAATGATATGAAGATAAATATGTACATTTAGCATGGAGCTATAGCTACATGCATTAAGTAAGTGTGGACTTAGAGTGGAGTTAAATAGCTTGGTGGTTAAAATACTTGCCTTCTAATCCCAGGGTCCTTGGTTCAATCTCTGTGACAGCTCCATGCATTAAGTAAGTGTGGACTTAAGAGTGGAGTTAAATAGCTTGGTGGTTAAAATACTTGCTTTCTAATCCCAGGGTTCTTGGTTCAATCTCTGTGACAGTAGGACTCTTTCTCACGACTACTGTATAAGCAAATCCATTCCCTAAGCCTCATAAGGAGATTTTATGATAAAAACATCCCGTTATTTCATTTGTTCAATCAGCTTTTCTTATTCTTTATTTTGGAAACGACACTTTTACAACAGTAACGGTGTGTCCAAAAAAACGTAAGAAAACTAACGTAATCAGAACTTGCCAAATCTAACATCCAAGAGATTAACAACAAGTATATAATCAATGTCTTACTTTACCCTCTCTTCCATTTAGGAATACAGACACCAAGACCCAAATTAACACTTTCTCATTACATTCTTACACCATAAATTCCCAAACTTTTCAAACAAAATTTCTAAAAGGAAAAGTAAGTTGAATACACATTAGATTATAATTTATACAATACATGCCTAATAAAAAAAATAATAATTTTCAATTTCTACCAGCCCTCAAACAAGGAAGCTCTTCCATTTTAAAATCCACATTATAACATTAACATTTTTAAGGCAATATGTAATATATATATATACTGTCTCTTATACACATCTAGATGTGTATAAGAGACAGCCTCCATATTCAACAAGCGTTTCTTTAACATTTAAATAGACAGCAGAGAGGTGGTGATGCCAACTGCTGTTTTTTGGTGTGTGTGGATCAGAACGTGGCAAGTTGTTTAAATCCGTTAAAACCGTGGTAGATTATTTGAAACAGCCCAATTCCTAATGACAACAATAGTGGGCTCCTTCTCTGAGTGGGAGCCCAGTGGTGCCAGCATAGCTGGAAAGTTAAAGGGGGTGAGGTCTGTCTCTTATACACATCTTGCAATGACAATGTCGGTAGGCGCGCTGTCGGTAGGCACTGGCAGG